AAAAAAAATTGCTATCTAGGGACCCCCTTGGTATCCTCTTAAATACCTTGAAATCCTTTCAAGGCCAACCACTAATTCATGGCGAGCCAAATAAGCACCTCGGGTTTCACTATCCAGAAAAATCTTTTTTTGCAAAAAACCCCAAACAAGCTACATAGAAGTGAGTATTACAAGAAAATTTTCAGAAAACTGGTTAAAAAATGCACTACTAATAGTTGCAAAAAAACCCAGACTACTACAGCACTTAGAGTTCTTTCAGTATTTCAAAAACAGAAAGCGCAAGAAACATCCCCATGCCAGGAAAGCTGTTTCAGCTTTGTCTCTCATATTCCACAGTTAGACGATATTCTTGTTAAAGGACTAGAACCAGGTGAATGGTAAAAAACTCAAGATCTCCTGTGGTGATGGTTTTCACCACAAACACCCTCTAAGGACATGTGCTGCAAGATTGTTCTTTACTAAGAACTGGTCCAGTTGTTGGCCAAAACTCCACATCTACACAAGAAGCTCAGCTAGAACCTGGAAAAGACTGCCAAAAACTCCTTTCAGCTCCAGGCAATGTATCAAGGCACTCAATGGATGTGACTGGAAGGTAAAAGGGGAGGGCAGCTACAAAAGTGCTCCAGCCTTGTCACAAGCAAAATTAACAACTTCACTACCATGGGCTCTCACTGCCTGACTCTGCCTGCGGGACATCAAAATGAAGTCAAGACATGGCAGATGCTCTGCCATGTCTAAGCAGCTCTCTTATTCCTGCCAAGCCCAAGATCAAGATCACAGAAGAAGGTGCAGGCACAGCTGAAACAGACAATTAGTGCAAAAGCAGTCACTTAGTTCTAGGGAAACATAAATTTATTGCGTGATGGCACCTATGCAGCCAAGACATCTCCTCCTTAGGGACAGCAAAATCTGCCACAGAACAAAAGGCTGGAAGTTTTGTTGTGCCGGATGAAGAAGAGAAAGGGATGATCAGCTATGAATTCTGAAGTGGGCATCATGAAGGAAGACTCACAGATTAGCATAGCTGTGGCAGCAGCTGCTTCAGTGCCTTCTTCGTTGACTTCCACAAAGGATTTGTGAATCGCTTCAGAGAGCACCAGCTGGTTGCCAGGTGAGATTCCTGAGAAGTCTGCCTTGCCCAAATCAAATGCATCAGGCATTCCCATGCTGCTCAGAAGTGGTTTCAGATCATAATTTTCTTCCAGTTTAAATCTGGGTAAAGACACCTTCACCTCTGTAGAACTCATCATTTTAGGACTGATCCAATGCATCAGTTTCTCATATGTAAGTTCCCTTTCGAGCTAAATAAAAGCCACAAATTTACTAAATTACAATGAGAATATAGCCCGCTACAGAGTCAAAAAGCACATAACATGAATCATTATTTCCCCAGAGTTTATAATGAAGATTAATGGTTTTTTCCTTTTTATTTTCAATAGGGGGAGGAAATGCAACAAAACTTTTGGAATAAATTCCTTGTTCACAGTGCCAAAGAGCCCAAACTTGTATCCTACCCCTACCACAAAAGAGATCCTGCCCTTTCCTCTGAGCCTCTTTCCAGCCAGTGAGCCACACACCACCTGCCAGCTGCGCAGCACAGAAGACCTACAGGACAAGCCACAGGACTTCCCAAGAGCCCACCCAAAGTCCCCCTCTCCCCATTCCATCATCACCATACTGTGCCTTCCCCACAACCACAGCTGAGCTCTGCTCCTGAGCAGGGCCAGCTCTCCTTCCAGAGCCTCTGGCCAAGGGAGCGGCACACAGCCTGTGCAGCACTGACACAGCAGGGGCTCTCACTTTGGGGACAGGGACGAGAGGGACATTGCTGATGGCCTTGAGCACCAGAGACACAATTGCTCTGCAACTGAACTGCAGGTCTCTGTGCAATTCAGGCTTTCTTCCCTGGAAGGATTCAGCATGTCTTTGCACTCAGCTCGACTACTTACTCTTTCCAGGCCTGTGGATCCATCCTGGATTGCATCAGGGAGCAGGATGATCATGCTCAGTTCATTACCCACATAGGGGAGCTCAAGGATTTTGGTCTGGAAGTCTCCAATGTAGGTCATGTTAAAATCTGCCTCCTTGAACATCATCTGCACCGGTCTGGTTTCATTCTAGAAATCAAGAGATGCCAACAGTGAGTGCTGAGCTTCTCTGCTGGTCTCACACTACGAAGCAGGCAGCAAGTTACTCATGGCCTTTTAGGATTTGTCCAAAGAGAACTGATCACACACCACAGAGTGCAGCCCTACCACTGCCTTTGGGAAAGCACGAGGTGAAAACAATGCATGATATTCCATAACAACTCAAAAGAAGCTGATATAGGCTTATCAGCCCTTTATCCTTTTGGTGTTGGCATCTTGAAAGCTGGCTCTAAGCTTGCACAGCTGCAGGCAATACAAAATGCAACAGTGTCTCTGGATACTCCTGCCAGCTTTTTCAACACCTTCCTAGAGCCAGGGACCAAGGTGTCAGGAGCTGAGTCAGCCCAGCAGTCTCTGAAATGCTGTGTGAGAAAGTGTTTTGGTAAGCATCAACATTCCCTTACATAAAAGTTATATCAGCACTTTGAAATATTCTTGGATTTATTTCACCACTACAGGGAGGGACAGTATCCAAACAGGCAGGAGGGCTTCCATTTTCCTCAATGGCCGCTTCAGGGAGGTCAGTTAAGAAAGGCACATCACCAGGTCTTGTTCCTGACTCCGGGAGGCCAACCCAGAGCTGCAGGGGATCCTGAGGGGCACCCATGGCCTGCCCATGCCAGGGGCCAAGTCCTCCTCAAGAGCACTGATCTACTTCTAAAAAAAAGACTACAGAGCAGGTCTGCAGAGGAAATTTGTTTTCCATTTCTTTTTAGATGTTTTCCATTTCTTCTTGGGGCAGAAATGCAGCAAGGAAGCTCTGACTGAAGAAGA